GGTTTGAGGTGGCCATATGGCCTCTGTGTGTGTGTGTGTGTGTGTGTGTGTGTTTGTGTGTGCGCGTATGCCAAGAAATGGATGGATGGCCATCGTGGGAACCTCCACAATATTGCCATCACACCAACTACCCACACACATACACACGAACGCACACACACCATTGCACATAGCATGGCAGCCTTTGGTGTGGTCAGTTACACAGAAACCAAAGTTCACAGGGACTCTGGATCATTCAGTTTGAGCCAGAACTAATGTAACTACGTCCACGCTGTTTGGGTTCCCACATGCAGGTCAAGAATACTGGCTTTAATCAACCGGGGTGCTGAGTGAGATATTTAATTTGTGCACAGGCTGAAAAGAAAGGATGGCTGAATAGAGGCCAATATTTAATTAGACAAGTGTTTTTTTTATCCCTGTGCTGCTGTGTTATTTTATTGGTCATGATTCATGCGCTCATCATGTATTTGCTCCATCACAGTGTCAATAGATAGATAGATAGATAGATAGATTCAGCATTCCAGTGCTGATTATAATGATAGATAGATAGTCGTCGTGTGGCCCGGGCCGTTGGCTTGATGGATAAGACTCCCCCAGCAACAACGACACTGTGATGTCAGAAACTCGAGACTCGCGTGTCCCCCCCCCCCTGTGTGAGCCACAAAGACCTGAGGCTGCCTACCTACCATCCCAGTCAGGAATGTAGCAACTTACGCCACCTGTTAGCCTCAATGTGTGACACAAACTTGTAGTGTACCTGTGTTATTGTGCAATACACTGACAGACGTATGAAAGGTAGGAATTCAGTGTAGTAAGAGAATGTGTATAGACTGAATTTAGATTGTGTTGTTTTTCTTTATGAACGTCTATTTTTAGCATTCCTCTTTAATGTCAGCTTCAGTAGCTTCAGTGTCAGATAAAGTATTTTTACCACTTTGACATCACATATTGTGCAGCCTGTTTCAAGTGTTTCTTTAAAGCTAAAACAATCCATCAATTCATAAGTGTGATAGCTGATAAAGTGATTTTAGAGATTTTTCAAGCAAAATCGCCAAACATTATTTGGTTCTAGTGTCTCTAATGTGAGAATCTGCTCTTTTTCTTTGTCCTTTGTGGTATCAAATTAAATATTTTTGCAATTCAGATTGTTGGTTGGTTAATACAGGACAATCACAGCTCTACCTGGGTCAGTCTTGGCAAAGACGCTTGAAGCATCAATAAGTCCAAATTGATAGGAAAGATTTTGCACACTTAGATCTGTGCCATTTTTTGTTCCACTTTGTGAAGTCATCACCGATCTCAGGGATTCACAGACAAGAGAATAAGAGGATTAATCAAAAATCGTCACAGCCCTTATACTAAATGAAATACTGTTTTTATGGCTACACCATTACATGAATTGGAAAATTTCTCGATGTTTTCAGCATGTTTCAGTACATTAATTTCTCAGTAACACTGAATAAATCCTAGAGCTGAAACGCACCAATGCCCTTCTGCATCTGACTTCTTTTGCTAATTCTTTTTTTGGGTCAGCACCCAGTATAATTTAAGGACATTTCAGTTGCCAGTTCTTTTGTTTGATTGTTTTGCATGCTCCTCTGTAATTTACTATGATATATTTGTTGTTTTTGCTTTAAATATGTTATGTTTTATAGTACTGAACAGTGCTAAAACACGAGTCCATAATAATGAATCTGCTTTTGATGATGAATCATTTCTTTTTTGATGATGACCCAGCTTTTCAATTCCCACGTGACATTATTGTCACACAACACCATGAAATTCAATGTTCAATGTTTAACGAACTCAAAACAAACAAACAAACAAAAAAAGCCTACATTCTGAACAAATCGCGCAGTCCCTGCTCCCTGAGATCCCTGCCCTGTGGCCCCCAGGGGTCCTTGGCCTTTGGTTTGAGAACCAGTGGCCTCCAGCAGCAGGATTAGCCCGGCCAGCTGCCCAGAGAGACCCTGGGCCGTGGACGCTGACACCAGGCCTGACCCCAGGGTGGCTACTATCAGGGACACTGAGGGGATTTGGACAGCACTTGGTGTGTATGTGTGTGTGTGTTGTTCATTCAGTTGGACAACTGTTGAGCCAGTACAGATTTGTGCAGCGGTGTTCTTTGTATGTGTGTGTGCGTGCTTGTATGGTCAATTCTTTCCGGGGGTTAACTGCTGATCCAGTACAAATGGGAGGGGTTGTGTGTGTGTGTGTGTGGTGCAGCGGTGTTCTTTGTATGTGTGTGTGCGTGCTTGTATGGTCAATTCTTTCCGGGGGTTAACTGCTGATCCAGTACAAATGGGAGGGGTTGTGTGTGTGTGTGGNGGGGGGGGGGGGGGGGGGGGGGGGGGGGGGGGGGGGGGGGGGGGGGGGGGGGGGGGGAATGAGGGCAGTCGTGTGCTCCTGGAACATCTGCCCCTGTTTCTCCTGAGTCAAGCTTTGGTCAGGAGTTGGGGAGGAGGAGGAGGAGGGGAGGCAACAGGGGGGAGGAACTCAAAGGGAAGGAGATGGAAGAAGAGAAGGAAGAGTCGGTGTAGGAGGAGGAGGAGGAAGTTGAAAAGATCCAACGTGAATAGGCAACAGACCCAAACACTGACTGCTGAAAATGGGATGCAGGATTATATAAACCCCTTTGCACCTCTGGTCTTTTGTGTTCACATATAGAGGATACACACATGAATATAGAGCATGTGTGTATGTGTGCACATTCAGGTACATTGTAAGCATTGTGTTTATGTTTTCATGTGTGACACCTGCAGGTTATGAAACTAATTTTTCCTCTGCGACAATAACTTTGTGCCTGGTCCTGATCAAGCTAGGTCTGAACAGTGTGCAAACTGGATGGGGTATGCGCTGTATCAACTCAATAAAAAGAGCTGACAAAAATAAAAGTGTAGGTGTAATAAGCTCAGGCTTCAGCCTACGCCTTTTCTGTCCTGTTTTGTTTTTTGTTTTTGTTCATTTTTTTGCTTTTTAATGCTAAAAAAGCGTTAACTTTATGTTTATTTAATGTCTATCTAACAGTGTATTTGAGTTTTATAAGTTGGAAAATGACCAAACTAAATTAAAGTAAGCTAAACTAAACTAAACTAAACTAAACTAAAGATAGAATAAAAGTGCATTTTTATTTTGGCACAACATAGTATCCTGATTCCAGACCTCTGAATTGTCACTTACATCTCCGATTTTTTCAGCAATTCAAGTAAGGTGACAACAAAATGGCCATTCAGCATAAATTGGCATGAAATATGTAACAACATATTTGCCATGAATTGCAACTCTAAAACCCAGTCAATACACGTGGACAGATTATGATTTGTTGTTATTTGCGTCTCTTTATAGTTGTTATGCAACTCTTGGTTTAATGTCTCTTTGTGGTAATTTTGTGTCTCTATGTGGTTGTTTTGCCCATTTCTCTATTTTTTCCATCTCTTAGATTGATTAGACAGAATAAGATTAAGTTCCTTTGTGACTCTTTGTGGAAATTTCAAATCTCTTCCTGGTCATTACTGCTAAATTTGAGTGACATTTTGCCGGTGGAGGCCAGGGGGACACTGGTGTGCGCCTAGTAGGCCCATTCAGTAATCCAACCATGCCAAAACAACACAAGTTCCTATATAGAGCATGTAAGTCAACTCACAAACTGAAGTGGATGGGAAACCCATCTGATATTCTCTCACTGTCCACGTGCAAGTTACAGTTATTGTCACGCCTTTTGGCTCTGTACATCAGTTCAGTCCGTCCTTCTGTATCAGCCACCTGTTTTGTCCAACCATCTCACTGCTGGGTGATGTCCTGGGCTTATATCAGACTAAACCACTATTAATAGCCTTAATGGTGGGAAATAACATTGTGCAGAGAAAGCTATCCAAGTATCCATTTAGCCCTTAATCTGTTGACCTATCACCCCACTCTAAAAATTCAACACCTCTACAGGACAACTTCAGACTATACCTGCTTGTACGTGTTATAACGCTAATGTCATCAGTTCTGTCGTCGCTGTTTTGTGCGACTACATTTTTTTGTGTAATGTTTATATTGTGTTTTGTACTGTATTTTGTCTTGTTGTTTACATAGAAAACAAGAATAGCAACTCATTCTGATTATCAGGTTATCAACATGGAGCTAAACCTGAGAAATTACCTGAAGTTCTGCAGCTCAACAGTTTTGAACATGAATATGTAACTTTAAAACAAATGGGTCGAAGCAGAAGAGGTAAAGCAGCTGTTTATTCAACATCTGTGCAGGTCTTAGAGCTGTTTCCTAAAAGCATCCTCAAGACTAAGGTGGGCCTAACCTATAGACTTAAGATTGAGCTATGATCATTATAGTCGCAGATGTTTTGGGGAACCCAGGAACATACCATTGGCAAAGCTCAGTCTAAAACCAAAATGCTGATAAGGTCTTCATGAGTCCAGTGGTTATAACTCTGCAGTGCAGTCAGGAGGGGCAGATTTACAACACAGCTCCTCCCTCCTTGAAGATCAGTTGACTGGGAGGGGTGGATTGTCCTCCCATTCCACAGAGCATCTGGCTGAAGGACGACAGATGCTGACAGCTGGACTGACATCCAGCATATGTCCCTTTCTTTATTCCTGTTCCACTCAGACAATAGAGTGGAAGGGACGGGGGTGCTTTGTGTTCAGAAGGTAGACCTAATAGCTTGTGACTCCAGAAAAGAGCCCCCATTCTCCAGGAGAGCCTGGAGAGCAATTAGTCTCTGATCCTAGCCTGGGGAGTTATTAAGGGTGGACTGGGCCCACAAAACCCTCAATGGGCTATTCTCATTCATGTCACATCAAGATGTTTATTTTTCATCACAGCATCAGTACAGTGATAGTCTGAATAAGATGTACAAATTGTGTTCAAGGGATAAATTTTGTTTTGGGGTCTGCATGGTCTTTTATATTTGGATTAATCACTCTAATCACTCCGTATTGCTAACACTGCTCTGTGTGGGCTCAGTGCGCCGAGCACGTGCGCTTTGTTTTGCAGCGTGATGACGCCACGCGTACATTGCAGGAAGTAGTCCACACCAAGCAAACACAAGATACATGCTGCTAGTGTATACCAAGATTATAAAGTAAGTTTTTGCTATGTTAAGCATTTCTGAGGGGAGAAAGCATTAACATGCACAGCTTAGTATGAGACGAGTTGGTTTGTAAAGACAGGAATAGCGACAACCTCGCAATGTATGAGTTTAGCGGCTAGAAGCTAAGCTAACTGTTAGCATTCAGGTCTGCGCTCACTGAACACTGAACTGTTTAACCTGTCGAGATATGTATCGTCCTGCAGCAATGTCAAACCGAAACGATGTCACTGACTTAATGATTAAGTACGGAGCACGTGACTTTAAAGTGGCAGTCTGGTAAACTGGCATAATTGTAGCACCTTGCTAAGTTACCTTAAATGTCTCCAATGAATTCATTCTCACTCTGTGTTTCCTCTCTGCAGGGATGGGAGTGAAAGGTCTTCAGTACTTTATGGACTGTTGCTGTCCAGGAGCCTGTGTGACTGTGAACCTGAGAGAGATGGCCAGACAACATGCTGAGAAGAGCCAGCAAGGTTTCACTACCACAGCTAACACTACCACTTGATTGTATATCAGTGTGCAAGTAGTGAGGCAGTGTGGGGAGCTGTGCTGAATGTGTCTGAAAAGTGAATTTGCATTTTTGTCAAGATTACTTTTGTTTAGTCAGGGGGTGGGGGCTATGATGGGCATACTAGTATCAATCTTAATTCATATGGTGCCTCTCTACTAGAAAAGCAGACGAGAGTTACACGGTCCTTCACAGGTGCACGCAGAATACAGCAGGGACACTCAGCCTGCTTTGCCTGGGGGCAACTTTTGAAAAATGACAGGAGACTAAATTAGGACACCTGATTCTAATTTGGCCTGACTCATTAACTGACTCATTAACTTAACTTATTACTTAATGTAACTTGGCACAAGGATTGATGCTGGGCCTATATGACAATTAAATCAGATATTTTAATGCATTAGTAGCTGCAACTGAGTCAGGGGGAACCTCCTCTGGCACTTTTTTAACCTCTGTTTTTGATGGTTTCTATGTTTTTTATGCACTCTGGCACTTCGTTTACATTCAGAGTACAAGAAAAAATCCCTAGTGATAATCAGTTCATTTTTATTATTAATTAGGATATGGTCAGCGGGTTACCGGGCACCTTACCTGGCATGTGGGCCGTAAGTAGAGGATCACTGGAATACAGCATCATCAAACACAACAAGAAAAGAAAAAAAAGAGATCACTTAGGATGATGCAGTATGAATGAACATGCTGCTTTATAAAATCAGTGCAAGTATATAAAGTGTATACACCTGTCCACCTGTCCTGATTTTATAAAAGATTTTCTGATAATTAGACATTAGACAAAGTGAGGTTTTACACTTTTGTCATACTTAAATTGAAGCATTATTGATTTTACAGATCTGTCTTAATTGCTGTCCGTTATGAAAGTTGTCATCTTCTGCACTGCATTGTGGGATATTTATGCCAGTCTAGTGTCCAGTGTTTGTATACTGCAATCTTTCACCGTAAATAGGCTGTAATTCATATACTGTTACTCTCATACTAAGTTGTAGATCATAACTAAAAAAACCTAATCTACTGTTTTAACATATCAAATAGCACGTTAGTTTGGAATTTCGGACACAGCTGTGGACTTTAAGCATGAGCGATGCTAGTAATTAGTTTGAAAAAAGTTTTGATGAACTAATAGCTGTAAGCTTTTTAAAGCATTAGATAACAACAAACAAACAAACAAACAAACAGGAAACATTTCTTGACTATTATGTAGGTTGTGTCTCTTGTCAGAGTAGGTTTATGTGCAGCTCTGCTCTCTTTCATTTGTATTTTCATTCTTGTTTAGACCCCACAATCGTTGTGGATGGCATGGCCTGCCTACGCCACTGGTACTCATGTAAGGACTGGATTTGTGGGGGGCAGTGGCGGGAGTACATGGATGTGCTAAAGCGCTGGGTGGAGGCCTTCACCTCAGCAGGCATCAGACTGGTCTTCTTCTTTGATGGGGTGGTGGAGGAGAAGAAGAGACAGGCGTGGGTGAGGACAGAAACTCTGTCAACTTGTGGTGTTCCAATATTGGACTTGAATATGTTGAAAATCAGTTGACTACTGTCTGTAGTTACAGAGTTTATTGACAGTTGTTTTCTTCATCTGATGAATCTCCTGTATACAACATATTCTCCTGTCCACAGGTGAAGAGGAGACGCAGAGTGAATGGGGACGTTTCTAAAATGTTTCGTCACGTGAAGGCATACGGAGAGCAGCCCGGTAGAGAGCTCTTTTGTCTGCCTTCTGGTCTGGCATCATTCACACGCTTTGCTCTCAGGTCAGCACTTACAAGAGAGACTACGATACTGTAGTCTTCTTGTACAAAATGTATACACAGTGATAATGAAATTAGTGTATTTAAAAGACTATGCTTCACTAGATGGGGTTTGATTTGATATCTTATGATGGTTCCTGTTATTGCTGTTTATGATGGAATCATTGTCTATCATTGTTTAATATTGTTGCCTACAGCTCACTGGGTCAGGAAGTGTTTTGCTCGGTGCAGGAAGCTGACTATGAGATTGCCAGCTATGCTCGTCAGCACGGCAGTATGGGCATTCTGGGACAGGACTCAGACTTCATCATATACGATAGGTTTGCTAAAATTATCATGTCTTAATACTTTTATATTTTGCTGGATTAAAAAAAAAAACGTCAGATTTGCTGAGAAAGACTTGCACTACAACTCACCGATCAGTGAACTTAAAATGCTGGGATTTTATGTTACTGTTAATCATGGAAAATGTGGATGAACTTTCTGAACTGAACATGTAGTTTTGTTTTCCAAAGTGCCCCCTACTTGTCTGTGGCAAAGCTGCGGATAGACAGCCTCACCACTGTCCTGTACGACCGACAGAGACTCTGCCAAACCATTGGACTGGCTGTTACCCAGCTACCGCTGCTGGCCTGTCTCCTTGGTAACGATGTGGTGTCAGAGGAGCGGATGCAGCATGTCAGAAACAACGCAATGGAAACATACAGGTGTCTGTCTTTTAATATTTGTTAAAATATATCTCCCAAAAATAAGTCATACCGAGTACTATGTTTAGTTATAAGAACATGAAGACTGGATGCACCCATTCATAATGTAAAACCATATTTTCCACTTCATTTTTAGCCATTTGATGATGAGCCAACTTAGTTCAAACGTACATGGGGACATTACATGACCATAATTTTATTGTTTCCCAGAACAAACGATCCTGCATCACACTCTGGTGCTCCTCAGGGGCAGATGGTGCTAGCTGTATCCCACCTTGTGTGCTCCTTGTGGAGTAGAGAGGAGCAACAGACTGGGCTCATCCCTCAGTCTCTGGATTTGTCAGCTCCTCAGAAAGAACTAGTGAAGAAGGGGGTTCGCTCCTATTTACTGCCCGGACAGGAAGGTCTTCAGCAAGGTGACATTTCTTTGCCTCCCTGTGGCTTTGAGAAACACGTTAGTCCAGAAATATTAAAGGTACGTTCTTTACATCATTCTGTCTTTGACGCTGTGAGAGTAACTATTGCCACATTGGCTTATTATGTTTTTAATTTTCTTCCCCCAGGCATGTAGAGAGAAGCACGTAGCAGCAGAGGGTTACATGGTTTACAGTGTTGTGTGTGAGGGGGTCATTGAATGTAGCAACACTCTGGAGGACGAGGAGGACGCTGAGTTGCAGCCTCAGGCTCTTGTCTACAAGCCATGCAGACAACGCATCTACGGGCTGCTGCTGCTACAGGGGCATGATGGTGGGACAGTAGATTTACTGCAGCTCATAAACACACACACATAGATACAAATGCACTATGGCAACACCATACACTCAGTCCAAAAACCACATATCTAACCATGAAGTCACAAACAGACAAATGTTCATGTGAAGGTAGACACCTGCAGATTTGTTGTGGTTGAAAGAACAAACAAAAATGTTTTTTTTTTTGGCAGTCCAAGACTAACCTTGATTTTGCGTGTCTTCAGGCAGCAGTGACGACCTTCCAGCAATTAAGGAATGGTTTGTCTACCCTGGAAATCCTCTGAAGGAACCTGAAATAGTTCCCGCTGTCCCAATCAGCCTTCCAGGTACTGTACTTGATAGTTTCTACATATATTGGTCTCTGTATTTTTTAGCTCAGGTTAGGACAAAATCTGGTTCCAATCTAGTAAGACCAGCTGATGCAAATGAAAAAGATGAAGGTATGAGGGGTTTTGATGATTTTCTTCTCGTTAGGATGACATTTTCCCAGTCTTGGGTAATGCACTCTAAATTTACAAAGCTAAGATAAGCAACAAAGACAATAACAACAAACTAGTTATTTGGTAATAGAAAAATCTACAATGTTTCCAGGGAATGGAAACTTAAAGGGACACAAATATATATTTTTACTCTGGACCCTATTTTCACATGTTTTTGTGTCTCAGTGACTAATGGGAACAAACATTTTTGAAACTGACGCAGCAGCGAAACTATAATGTAATGTATTCCCCACAGGCAGTTGTGCTCTGTCAATTTATGGCCATTGAAAGTGCTTCTTTTTGCCACTGACAGGCTCAGATTATTATTACAAGTGTCTGTCGACATTACGGAAAAGACTCTACAGAGAAATTAAATCTAGTCTGTTTTATTGTGACCATGTCTGGCTCACAGAAGTCTTGTTCTGAATCTCCCAAGAAGTGACTTGTTGCAGGAAAAGCAACGGTGAAAAATGCGGTGGAAACATTAGTGAGAGTTGGAGAGAGCTTCTCCTTGAGTAACACTTGGTTACATGCACTAACAAACAGATTGGATCAGCTAAAGGCAAGGAAAATGTGTGATTTCTTTGTGGGGTCTTTTCCATAATGTTGTAAGACGCTTCAAAAACGATCTGAACCTGTCAGTGGCAAAAACAAGCACTTTTAATGGACACAAATTGTCAGTGAACAGTTGCACATTGGGATTACATTGTAGTCTGTTTCACTGCTGCAGCTATGGCTGCCTCTCTCAATATTGGACCAATTTAAAAAACTGTTGTCGCCATTCATCACTTAGGCACAGAAACATGGGAAAATAGAGTCCAGGTTCAAAAATATCAAAGTTTTCTTTCAACTTAGCTTGAGACCAACTTCTTTGGCATCACTGGCCATCAGAATGACTGAAGAATGAGAAGTTGCCTCTGGTTATGCTTAATACATCAAAGACATTATGTCACATTTCATGCAGTGATATTATTGTTTCTCTGTCTCAATGTGTAGGTGATCAGCCCAGTCTGGACTCATTATGGTTTGGTTCTGGTTCTGAAGTTTCTGCTCTTCGCCTGACGTGCTTCCTTTCGATTTTTGACTGCCAGGAGTTCTCAGAGTTGCATGGAGCCATTGAGGACTCTCTCCTGGCTGCTCTCTGCCTGGTCACTCACATAGTCCTCCAGGTAGTGTCAATTCTGTCTTGTTTCTTTGATAGATTTCAACAGGAGATGAAAGAAAAGGAAACAGAGCACATTAGCCAAATTCAAACCAATGCTGAGGAGAGTAGTTATTGAACAAAAATTAAATGAATTTCACAGGAAAAGGTGTGTATGAAGGGAAACTGTAAACCTCAGTCAAAGATTTGTACAGGCAGTCCAATGATTTGATTATGGAAGTTATTCACCTCCATGTTTCCTCGTGTTTCACTGTGACTGATGTGACTGTTTTGGTTTCTTCGGTCAGGCTGCATGTTTGGCTTAGCCTCAATGAAGAAATTAAGCCGTTAAATGAAACAGTGGAGCACAATGGCATCAGTTTGTACTTAGGCGTTTCATAATGCCAGTGTATGGGTAGTGAAGCCTCACCTGGTGATTTATGTAAACAAAAAATGAAAGACCAAATGTTTTCAGTGACAATTGAACACACAAGGCAGCTTTTGATTTGGGATTTACATCTATAACATATACAACAATTACTCTGCTCTTTTGTCAACTTGTGATTTGAAGTTAAACATCACTTGTTGATGGTCTGTTCAGTGTTGTTTTGTCACTGCTTAATGGTCCCCACTATCACCCACTGAGTGCCCAGTTTAGCCACAGACACTGGTCTTTGTAACTCCAGCTCTTGCGTCAACAACTCCTCTGATAACCACCCAGGGGCTTTGAATATCTTAAGACCCATTTCTTAATTCACTTTATGACAGTCTTGTCCATGTTTTGCTTGTAAATTTTCAGCTATAAACACGTGGGCTGTTTTTAATCCTGTTGTAATGCCGTGTTTTTGATTTTAATCCCTTCAACACAGTGACTACTTTTCAAAGTGTGTGAAAGAAGAAGAGATGTGTGTTTTTGGTTTGTACATATTGCATTGACGTCATCTGACTGAGCTTCAAAACAGCAGAGATCACAAGATCACATCACCAGGATAAAGATGCATGCGTCATTTTGCAGAAGCTAAACAAAAATTAGATTGTACATTCATTGATCATCAGTGTAACAAACGAAGTCCTTAAGTTATAGCTCAAATGACCTGAATCTTAAATGTTATCTTGAGTTTTCAAAAGGTGCTCTTGAGGTTAGACTTGCCTTGCACATTTCCGAATAATGCTTATATTCAAACATCTTTTTGTGTCACAAAATATACCATACATTAGTTTTGTATCTCAAGGAAGTGTGATTTAGTATTGCACCCCTCCACGTTGTTTGAATTCTGATAGACATTGACAAAAAAACAGTTCAAAATCAAAGCAGCAGAACCAGAGATATCGTCTTTTTTATTCCAAGCACTCTTCCTCCTGTCAGAATCACAATGCAACTCAAGGTTTGGGTGTTTTTTGCTAGCAGTGTAGTGTAGCCCCGAGTCTTTTGCCTCTAGCAAAGAGGAGGAGTGGGCTCGAGGTCTGGTAAGTTCAAGATTTTTAATGCCTCTGTGTCTTGCAACAGCCGTAACTGGAGGTATTATGTTTTTGGGTTGTCTGTCTCATTCCCGTGAACCTGATATCTCAGAACGCCTTGAGGGAATGTCTTCAAATTTGGCACAAACGTCCAGTTGGAGACAAGAATGAACAGAGTAGATTTTGTTGGTTAAAGCTCAAAGGTCAGTCATATTTTCAGTCATAACTTAAGAATTCAGATGCTAATTGTCACAACACTTCAGACGAATGTCAAACAGAATAAAATCATGAAGTGATTGCATTTTATGTCTAAAAGGGCAACGGTCAACTTCACTGTGACATCATAATGTTCTACAAAATCACTTTTCTGGCCTATACTCCACACCATAACTCAGGAACAGATGGGGAGACATTTGGTCAGAATTGGTGGCACTAATCTTGGGTGTCCGTCTTGAAACTGGGTTGATTGTCTAGATCTTCTGTGCTGCCGGGTTGAAGACGTGTGTGAAGCATCCACGTTTTAGAATGCGTAGCTTCTCTGCAGCAACATCCATATTATTAAGCACTGCCTACTATCATGGCTACTTATGAGTCTGTAAACTGTCACTGCAACTTGACTGGTTGGCAGAGGCATACAGCCGTGAGATGGTAATTCTAGTTTCATTTTCAAACTTGTGGTCTTCATGACTCAAGTGACATCACTTAAGGCAAGTAATTCAATTTTGTGCAGCTCCCTCTGGAGCAGCAAGACTTCATACAACTTTTTACATATATGCAATAGTGCTCCCCAGTATCTGTAAACGGACTTTGATGTGTAAAATTGGTGTAGTTCCCCTTTAATGGTACAAGTAGACTCTTATACACATTGTCCTGTCCTGCATAAATAGCCTGTTGCTTCTTCTGCAGCATCAACCAAATGTAATTCAATACCAATCTTGTATTTAATTGAGGAACTGTAAAGTGTCCTCTCCTGCTGTATCCTCATGTAGTTATTAAGTTGAACCAAATAAGTTCCTAACATTTAAGCTCTACAATTGCAGCTCTAGTTTACAATAAAAACATGTGATCAGTTTGCTATGAACTCTGGCTCTGGTAGACTGGCCACAGTCAAACACACGATCACTGAAGTTTTAACCAACTAACTGAACAGGATTTTAACCCGACACCTTTGTAAGTTAGACCTGTTTCTGCAATATAATTTTACCCATCAGCACTCTGTTCAGACAGACAGAGTTGAACACTCAGAGGTACAGAGGTCAACAGACCGCCATTCAGACAGATGCAGATTTTTTTGGAAAACAGACAAATGGACACTTGGAGTCAATCATTTAAGTGGCTGAAGGAGCAACAGACAGACAGCAGAGCGGCTTGTTTGACGGCTCGTTAGCTGAGTAGTCAGGCTGACAGACAACAGTAGCTGTTGTTGTGCGATCACTGCTGCATTCACATTCCCTCGTCACTCTTCAATTTAAATAGCTTCAGGGTTTGTTTGTTTTGTACACACAGCTGGGCAGCCTTGTTTCTGCATTCAGCATTGTTTCTTTCTATGTTGAATTGTTGCACAGAGAGCAGACAAAACAAACTGACCCACACAGAAGACGCACTGGGATGTGATTGCATTGGCTAACCATATATTTTCCTGTGTGTTTGTGTGTGTGTTTTCAGGGCCAAACTTTGTCTCAAGAGGATGTTGATGCCTACCTGAGCCAGGCTGTGTGTCTGAGACTAAAATCCCCCAAGGAGCTCCAACAGGTCAAGGTCAGTTTCAAACACAAACGCACACACACTGCATATATGCTCCACTGTTTATTATTTTCAACCAATAATACCCACGTTTTTAAAAAGGAGCACATCAGTCTACTGATTTTCACTCATTCATTATGTCCGAATGCACCATAAAGTCGTGGAGTTTCCTGCTGCGAGAAGACAATGTCCTCTGCAGTTTACAGTAAACAAGGTCGTCTTGTGACAAACACAGCTCAGAAAATGTTTCCAATAATAGAAAGTGAGAAGAAAAATGGGGAGAAAACACAAATAAGCTGCTGATTGAGTCTTCAGAAAATCAAACAAACAAGCACACAACCAAAACACCCCAAACAATTATGGTTAAACTCTAAAGTGGCTGTAAAGCAAATGGCAATTTTTGTATTATAGATTTTTAAAAAATCAAATGCTGAAATTAAAACACATATGTTTCCATATTCTTTATTTTATTTATTTATTTATTTATTTATTTATTTATTTATTTTGATGAATAAGATCCCAAATAACATATTGACAAGCACAACCTGAAAACTGATGGCTTATTATGATATGACTGTCACAGCTGAAGCAGCTGTAGTTACATTTTATATCTGTAAACAGTTTTGCAGTTGTTATAGCTGATGATCAAGTTTATTGTGTAAACTACAAACAAAGTAGCACTACCTGCTGACGCTGGAAAAACATGTTACATAACTCTTAAAGGTCCAGTGTGCAGGATTTATTGGCATCTAGCAGTGAGGCTGCAGAATTGAAACCACTCCGTTTGCCAAATCTGTAGGAGAACTATGGTGGCTAATGCAAATGGCCCTTTCAAGAGCCAGTGCTTGGTTTGTCCACTCTGGGTTACTGTAGAACAACACGTCAGACTCCATGGCAGAGGGACCTCTTGTATATAGGTATAAACAGCTCAATTTGAGGTCATGGGAATCCTAAATGCTATATCATAGCAGATGAGAGAAATTTTCCTTGAGGTCTTTCCTCAGAAAGGGATCTCTTGGTTAAGGTTAGGAAAAAAGTTGTGGTTTGGGTTAAAATGAATGGATTTCTGTCAGAAAGGGCCTTCTGGGAGTCTACAAGGAAAACTAGTAGGCAGCTGGACTTGCTTGAGTTTCTTGAAGACGTTTCACCTCTCATTCAAGAGGCTTCCTCAGTTCTGAACTGGATGAGAGGTGAAAACATCTTCAAGAAAGTCAAGCAAGTCCAGTTCCCTTTGATGAAGCACTTTGGATTGTGAAGTGTAGTAGATGGGGAAAACAACTTGTAAAATGCCACGTGCTAGTTTCGGTGCTTGCAGCACTACTGTGTGAAAATGGCTGAGGCCAAGTTTAAGTGCATGTTTACATGTTACATTGTTGTAAGGGTAATGTAGGTCCTCAGGGGGAATAGCTCAGTGCATGGTGGCCAAAACCAAGTGAAGTGCTCGTGTCTTGTTTCCCAACTGCAGGTTGAAGTCAAGGGGGGAACCAATGTCACTGATGGCGGTCTGGAAGCTGAAGCAGGAATGGTTAACAGCTTTTTGTTACCTAGCTGTTTAGAGTGGTAGAACCAGTCAGTATGCACTTTAGTTTGTGTGATCTGTCACAATACTGTTGTTGACAGGAGATTAATGAAGTTCATATTTACTTTTCAATGACCGTAATAAAGATAATAACGATACGGAAGAAGATATACTTTAAAGAAATTAATTTTAAAATTAACTGCATACTAAATAGTGATTGCAATGTTATTCTTAGAAAATTGAATTTCCTCATGAGGGATGTGCGCGATGAGTCGACTAGTCGACTAAACGTTGCTACCATCGAGTCAGCACCAGAAATACTAGGTGGTTAAACTTTTCATTAAAATTACTATTTAATTGATGTGGCCTACACATCTAAATTTCACTGAAAAGGTTAGATCTTTTTAGCTGAATGTTGCTTTACAAAAAAAACAAGCATTTGTAAACTTCTAATATGAACACAGGTAAGCAAAAACAAAAAACCCACATCTTGTAAAACCAGCATAGTTTGGCGGGATTTTTATTTTTTACTTACTGATTTGTTTTCATGTTTTGTGGGATAATTTCCAAAGTCCATAATGCACAGTGCAAAGTGCCATGCATTAAAGTGGCGTTTAAAATTCTATTAGGTTTTTGAAAAATGTTATTATTGATCTCAAATGGCTTATGGTGATGTTAAGCTAAGTTTAACCTTCCGTTTAAAAGTCAGGGACATTAGTCGTTAGGACGATCCCTGTTCCTCATATCGTTCAGCCCTACACTGAGACCAGCGGGACAGCATCCTTACTTCTGTCTCGTCCCAGAGTTGTCAGTGAGCCCCGTGGATCCGACTCGTGAGCTCTCACAGATGCGAGCATCATCGAGTCAGCTGTGCTTTTCCATCTTCTTGGAAAATGGCTGCGTTGTTTGCTGCCTTGTTGTAGCCCCATTTATTTTTACGGCTTAATTACCATACTTAGGTCTAGTAATTTGTATTTTTGCTGCTCGTCTGTTTTCTACACAATAATTAGGGCTGGGCGTTGATTTGAATATGCTGTCTGGGAGAAGTTCAGAGCTGCAGCAGGAGGTTAACTGAGTGACTAGTGTGTGTATTAACTACACACACAGACTAAGCACATGCCAAAGGTGGGTTAACACACAGTCAGTTTTTAATATTTGATTGTGTATGCAGTTGTGTGCACAGAGAAACCTGCAGTGCAAAGTCAAAACCTGCCTCTGTGTTTTTCCACAACACCCCCCAAAGAAGCAAAGATTTTTATAAAGTTAGATAAGTGTGTGTGCATGAGCGTGAGTGTTCAAATGAGTGAAAATGAGTCACACTATTTGTGTGTGTGTGTTTAGGGGAAAGGGGTTGTGGGTAGGTTTTGGGATGCGTCGGTTTCATTGCAACATTCCTCCCCATGGGACCGTGATTGTGGCGTGTGTGTGTGTGTATGTGTGTGTGTGACAGAGAGAGTGTGCTGGCGACAGTCGCCTGTCTGTCCTGGCTGACGCTCACCGCATGGAGCTATTTACACCAAGCACACTCCGCCCCGCTGGACACACACACACACACGTTTCTGTCTTTGTCTCTCTCACTCTGTGTGTTCTCATGTTCTCCTGCTTTATACTCTCGACCACTTTCCCTCTTTTGTCTCTCTTCACATTGCTCTTTACCTCTTGTCTCTCCGTCCTTTTGTGCCTGTGTGTTTGAGCGCTCCTTCAGGCTCTTGTGTCTCCGTCCAGTGGTTCATTGTTTTCAGAAGGTGAAGCTGTGTTTGACTGGAAGCAGGTGGCAGGCAGGGCTGTGTGTGTAAGTGTGTGTGTGTGTACATGTAATCACTGTTATCAGTGCTATCTGCCAGAGGACAGGTGACAGCAGAAAGCACACACACAGACATCTGCCTGCTGTTATCGACGGCTGTTGGCCCCGTTAACTTGCTCTCCACTTCCTCGTCATCTTCATCCTCCTCCAGTTTCTTTTTTCTGCTCGTACACTGTTGCAGCCTTTTATGGTCTTTGTCAGCAAACAACATAACTGTCCTCCTGTTTTTCCTTTAATGGGTCAACTCAAACTATCGTAACAGAATCCATTATTTAAAAAAAAAAAATTCGCATTTATTTTGCAGAAGCACAAAACATCTGTAGAAAATCTTTTGTGTTTTTCTCTTTGTTTCAATATTAAATTGAGATGAGATGTTATCTTTAAAGTGTCACTTTATTAAACAATGGGTTTCACTGGATATTGAATAACTTGCTGACTCACTCGTGTATATCTTAAATTGTGGATTGGACTACTTTCTTCCAACAATATAGAAACTCATGGAGCTTTACATTCAGAAAAATACATAACCAAAATGTTTTTTCATCCTCACCTTTCCCTTCTTCATGTCTTGTCAATTTGTAGTGTACTGAGGGTGCATGCAGGTTCTTTAAAAGTCTTCAAATGTTTTCAATTTTATAAATATTAGGTCTTAAAAGTCATTGAAATAGTCTTAAATTTCATTTTGATTTTTTTTTTCTTAATTGACACAAACATTTAATCTAATTTTATTTATTGATCTTTTAATTCATTTTTGCCAAAATGAGTTGAGCCCTTCTGTGTGAAAGTTCACATTTCTGGTGTTACAAATCTTAAAACCTACCTCTGAATATAATATCGTCTCTTTACTTTATAACTGAACTCACCTGTTGGCAAAATGTAGATCAACCTAACTCACTCTAATAACCATATTCCTATTAAATAAACCTACCTTGGCACAGGACCACCTATATGGACTGCTGCTTATCTTTATACTCACCTGCAGTGTTTGAATAAGAAGATTATTTATCTGAAAATAAATCACCTTTTAAAGGTCTTAAAAAGCATTTCATGTGCGTATCTGGAACCTGTAGACACCCTGAGCATATCATTCCATTAGAAAAACTCTACAGTCTCATTTAAATGCCACATATACTGCATTATTTCACTTTAAAATCAGTGTGAAATTTGTTGCAGTGAACAAATCCTAGCAAAGAAGTTTCACTGTCAAATAAAAAAAACCACAGCAGCCAATCACTTTCACCTAGCGGGCTGGATAGCTGGTGACAGTCGAGTGGGTGGTCTGAGTCGTATATAATTGTGTGATTTATGCGTCAGGATTGAGCAGATAAGGTTGTGCAAATTAGGGTTGGGAAACAACAATTATTTTAGCAGCTGAGAGTAAACTCTTAAGGAATTTGTTCCGGGTGGTGACACCGAGCATATTGAAGAAACAGATGGCTCTGTGCAGCAGGACTGTTTCAATGATGCTACGCTTCAGGAAGATGTTTGTGGTGTGTTGATTGAAACTAAAGGTGTTATGGATGCCTCAAACTCGCGACTTCTCTTTTAATTAAGTTAAGTTCAACAAGCTTTATTAAGGTAAATGTCATGACAAATATGTCAGAGTGTGTAAGGTGAATTTATTATTGAGGGAGTGTGACTGCTTGTAAATGGATGTATGAAAACTAGTTGAGATTTCTTTGTCAAATGATAATTCATATTTTGCATCAATGATGTCAGTAAATTACAAGATTCATTTAAGGGAAAATTGGTCATCTTTTATGTGGCTGTCCAATCAGTGCTGTAGTAAATGTAGTCAATGAAAGCAAGAAATTTCTCATGCTATTTTGACCGAGAAAGCTGAGTTGGCAGCTGCAAAATCTGTTCTTCTTCATGCATCCAGCGCCATCATTTGACATGACAGTGATGTAGCTGGATGCCAGGAAAAACCACAGTTTCAGCCTTGACTTTTAGCATAACCATGGGCCGTTCTCTCGATCAGCGGTTCCCAACTGGTCAAGCCAGGGGGTCCAGATTTCTCCGTAGTCATTATTTTGCGGTCCCACAGTTTAATACATTCAGCGTCATACATAGTGTTTAGCAATGTGGTTGAGCTACTTTGCTGTTTCTGTTAAGTAGCTGTGGGTTAGTCACTCATTCTACAGCAGAAAACAGCACTTCAAAATAAAAGCTCTACGCTGGAAATTTACTGAACTTAACAATTAAATTAAATGTGGTCACTTACAGTCCATTTAGAATGGGCCTACAACCCACTTTTGGACCAAGACCCTCCAGTTGGGAACCACTGCTCTAGATGTTGCTCAAAAACAGAACTTTCTTGTTCCCTTTGCTTGTATTGTAAAGTAGCTACATTTCCAAAAGCGAAACACACATCTCAAAATATGAGCGCATGAATGCATTTACCATCAACACTGATTGGACATCCACATTAAATGTGGTGAATTTTCCCTTTAATTCACCACTGTTGATGTCAGGTTTGACCTGCTGGCAGCTCAAAAGACAGTCACCATCACTGCAGTCATGGTTGTCTCATATTCAAAGTTCAGATACTCCGAAGTATCAAGCGTCATGTTAACGTACTACAAACCAAATGTAAAACCAACCTTTTTTCCTCCTCCATTCTCAGCTGCCTTTTCTATCCAGTCGTGCGGTGCAGCTGGGATCTCTCTACATCCGAGGACTGAACCACCTGCTGGGTGCTAACTGTGCCAGTGGCTGCCCGCTGCCCAACGCTGCCCTCATGCCTTGGCACAGCTTTGATGGACGGCTGTTCCACTCAAAGTACCTGCTGGCACATAGCGGCACAGAGAAGTCTGTGTTGCTGGACAGCGATGTGAGTGGAGACAGAAAAACAAAAAGGGGAATGTGTGTGTGTGTGTGTGTGTGTGTGTGTGTGTGTTCTGTTGCAGCTGCTTGTATGATATTCTGTATTATTTTTTTACCGTTTACGAACAGTATGATTTTGAGACGTGTAATCCAAAGTGTGTTTTTGTCTGTCTCTCTCTTCAGTCGTCCTGTTTGTCTCTTTTTCTCCACCTGAGAGAGAAACTTACAGAAACCTGCAGGAAGCAAGGCAGAGTTCTGCAGTCCAGACCCCATGTAGCAGAACATAAAACCACACCAGGACCCAGATACAGAGGAAGACACACAGGTGAGACATGAGACATACTGACGTGTCTTTATAGATGCCCAGTAGCTTCCTATAACTTCAGCCACCTGCCTTTTACAGACTGTTTTTAGTACAAGTGAACACTTTCTTCTTACTTATGACCGATGTTGTTAGTGGATGGTTGTCATCATGTAGGGGAAGAGACATCAACACTGTGGGTGTGAAGTTTTGTCTATAAAGATGTTGCTGTATGCTACCCATACCCACATATCAAAAACATAACAAGGGTCACAATTAAAAAATTATGATACTAGTACCAATGCCACGACCCTCAAAGTGATACAGATACCAATAGAGAATTTAAAACCTTTTTCCCCACTTTATTCGATATCTATCATGTGAGTGGAAGCATTTAGCTGTGTGAAATGCCACCAAACGACACAGGCATGTAGTATAGCCTTTGCATTGGACATTTTGGTGGCTCCTGGGCGCACTGAACATCCAGCTCCATCAGTCACCAGACCACAGACTGTATGGGTTGTCTTGTTTCTAGATCTGAGTACAAAAGGATCAAATGCAGGTATTGTTTAAGCGGAGAAGTTTCAATACTACTTGGTATTGGGTTACTTCGGCCACTACCTTACAGTTATTGAGTACCCATATCCAGTCCTATCAGTGTCTGTTTTTACCCCCAGGTACAAATAGACACTGAATTGTCACACTGCAACTATTCGACTATTTACACCCATCCCCATGACGCATATGGATCCAACAATGTGCTGTGACTGGTTAGCACTGTTCACACTGACACGTCAAGGTTACAAATTTACATGAAAAAACTCACAAATGTACAGCCAGAGAGTCAGGTGATGTATTATAAAGGTCACCACTATGCAGGAGGGTAGTAAGACACGGTGAGTGAGCACAGGTCTTTCACACAGGAGACAGGCGTTTGAGTCTCAAGCGAGTCAAGGTTTGGTCTATTATTTTCAGTTTTAGGATGAAGCTGCTGAATGAACACTGTGTACATAAACATCAGAAGAATAGCTAAATAGACCTGTCTGTGTTTACATGATATTTAGACGTTGCCAGGACACCAAGACCACATTAGCTATTTACACCTGGAGAGTATTAAGTATTGCGTATAAAGTATTGCAAATGTTTTTTGAAATTTGCCAAATTTTCCACTGTTTCAAATCTACTTTGATGATTTTAAACATAAAATCATAATTATTTTAAGCACTTAAATGAGCATGTGCAGTTGTTTTAAACAATATTTTTTATATTTGTTGAAATGCTGTGTGTTTTAAAAGTGATTTAATGCCTTTCATGTTTTCCCCTTCCTTTCTCTTACTCAACACTCGCTCTGTCTGTGATTGTTGGTTTTGTGTTGTTTCGTGTAACATAATTATGCTGCTATTTTGGCCAGGACTCTTTGGAAAAAAAAGAGTTTTTGATCTTGTGACCATCCTGGTTAAATAAAGGTCAGAGAGAGAAAAACGTTTTGACCTGAATTAAGAAATATTATGGTGTCTCTAGGGCGCCCTGGTGGCCCAGTGGTTAAGATGCATACCATATAACCACAGTGTCCTTGATGCATATCTGGCTGGGGACCTTTGTCCCATGTCACATCCCTCTTTGTCTTCCTGGGTGTCCTTTCTGTATTGTAAAAGATTCAATTAAAAGGCAATGGCCCCTAAAAACATTATAAAAGTGATTTTATGATGTCTGCATATTTTTAAGGCTCTAATAGGAGGTAGTCTTTATTTCCAATCACTGTCCAAAGCACAGAGAAGTAAAAACACTGAGGCTCATATGAGAAACTGATGAAAATACTCCTGGAGCTGAACAGAGAAGCAGCATTTTAATCTTGACAGTTCATCTGTGGTTGTAGTTCTCTGGTGCCCCTCACAGAACCACATTACCCAGAGGGCCGCGCTGTAACGAGCTCCATGTGTGCTGCGGCCTTAATGCATACCGCCCGCCGTGCGTGTGTGTACGCACACACACACGCACACGTGCACGCTTGGATCCAAGACTTGCTTTGTCAGTGCACTAGTAATAGTAGGTTTCTGTTTATAGGCCGAGAGAGCTCTATTTTAAGACACACAACAAGACTAACTGATTACAGACCTCTCTCCTCTGTCTCTCCCCTCTTTGTGTTCCCCTTCCCCTCAGTCGTTCCCCTCCGTCTAACTCCTCAGCCTTTTATTTTTCTTCGTTTCTTTGCTTTATTTCTCGCTGTTGCTCTCTTTCTGGTGCTGCGTGCAGAGCCAGACGCCTTTCTGTCTTATTATACTCAGATTTTCAAACACATCACACACCTACTATCTTGTTTTGTGTCAGAGTGGCCTGTCTGTATGTGATGCTCTCTACTGTACAGACTGGAGCTCTGTCCATACAAGACTCGTCTGTAGTTTACAGACTCACTGGGCAATCTCAGAAGACGACTCAGCAGCAGTTTATGAAACGTGAACCCGTATTTTCTGTTCAACCCTGTGACTCCTTGTAAACCTTTTGTGACTGTTCCTCTGCGTGCCCTGTTGGCGCAGAGTCTCCGAATTGCGCCGAACTGTCTGCGTTTTGCCCAAGTCGACCCTTGTGGGTCTCATGAGGATGTTCGGGGTTTTATAGATGGAAGGCTGTGCACTCTTTATACCTCAGTGTTTCATTTCTGCCAGACGCAGACACCAATCATTACTACAGAACTGTGGGGATATGGAGTGTGTGCCTGTGTGTGTGTGTGTGTGTGTGTGTGTGTGTGTGTGTGTGTGAGGGGGAGAGAAACAGAGAGTTTGTGTGTGCGTGAGAGTAGTGGTGGCGCTATGTGGTATCGTTGAGGGCCCGGTTTGGTTTTTGTTTGGAATCAGGCCTGATGTTTAGTCTCCTCAGCAAATATCTCCTCTGCCCGCCTGCCCTTGCAATTACACTCCAGCAGTGAATCCAGTATAGCTGCTCTCCCACATCTTTTCAGGTTATTTCTGTCCAAAAAGACAAAAAGTAAATGAAGACAACCTCATTTTCAGATTCGTGGAGTGCAATTTACTTTGGCTGAGAGAAGTGACGTACCTCTCTCCTCCAGTCTGTCCTCCAGTAGTGTTCATTTTCCTTCACACACATTTAAATCCCGACACAGGAAGAAATATTTTCTCTAATCTCCCTCTTTAATCTTATTTGTCTCCCTTTTTTGGTTTTATTCTGAATCTCTAAGAAACTGAGACTTTTCCGAAGACATGTCGACCACAGAAACAGATCTGAAAGAAGTGTTGGTGCTTGCGGCCTGACTGACACATCCACTTAAGCATGGCGTGCTTTCATGTGCCTTTTTTCTGCACTTTCACACTCAGCGAGTGGATTGATGACAGGATGGTGGCCTGATTTAGCCGAGCAGGCTGCAGCTCCCTTTTGGCAAGATCTAAAGTTGGACTTGATGTTTTATTTCAAGCACTTTGTAATTGGCTTAAAATCTGCCACATCTGTCAAAGTTCTTTAAGTGAAAAGTTTGTCACAGGCTTTTCTGAGAGCGAGGATAGATTTTAATGGTAGCTAAACAGGAGTTGGGAAATATTGAGCTTTTTCTGACGGTTAATAGATTTTGTAACCAATAGTAGAGCAACAGACCATAAATACAAAACACATGTTTCATCTTAGTTTGTTTTTCTGTGAGATGACAGTTGACAAGGAGATCTGTGAGCATTCAGCTCTACGAAACCTTTCTGTCTCCGAATAATTCGGCTTTCGACACTGGCAGCGTTTGTCAGACTTGATGAGTGTGTATGTCCTCTGTGATATGCCGTTTGGTTTTTTTTGGCTGTTCTGTGGGAAGCCTTGAAATAATTGCGGACAGACTTTAAAGACAAGCTGAGTGTGTGTATGTGTGTGTGTGCATGTGTTTGGGAGAGAGAGGAGCAATTGTTGATCCTTTTTGCACAGAGCGCGGCATTTAACCAACATCTACTAAGATTGCTGAATTGATTGCTGGGGTTGTCTCTTACCGGTTACATTAGATTATTCCTAGACTCCTAACACAAGTAAGGCTAGTAGAGGCTCATATTTCAGTAGAAAAACAACTTCACTACCACAGCTTCTCTGTTTTAGTTCACTTTTACTGCTCTCATCAGCATTGGTTTTGGCTTCAGCAGACAGCTATTTTCATCAGTCTTTGATAACCCTGCTGTACTCTACCTGCTCAGCACCAAACAGCAGACAGACACAGGCTACATCCACACACACTTGAGAACCCCTAAAATGGAGACAGGGATGTGTTCTTGTCTGGACGGGCAGACATGCAGACTTTTTAAAACTACGACGCAGACACCCATGTTCACTTCCAGATTGGGTCTTATCAATCATGACGTGTCAAGTCAAACATCATAGCTAGGTCTACATACTTTTTGTGATTTTATCCTTCTTGTGTGAATACTGCCTTCTCGTTGTCATGGCCAGAAACATTAGAAAGGTAACCATATTTGCTTTGCAGCGACAACCAATAAGTTTGTCACTGCCTTGACCACACTAAGCCCTGTTTCCTCCGAGCAGTACAGTACGGATCAGTTCAGTTCAGTATGCTTTTTGCCCATTTCCATTGTGAAAAGTTGTGGATGGTACCAATGGAACTGTTCTGTACGTCCCCATTTTTGGTCCCCCCTCTGTTGGGGTACCTAGCACACAGTTCCAATACTAAAAGGTGGAGCTGTGAACACTGCAGTCCGTTGATTGGTCAGTAGCGGACGGTCACTCTTGCTCAGGGCTGAGTTGTGGCTGGTTTTGAAGCTTGTTCATACCGTGAAGAGTTTTATGACTGTAACTATAAAATGAAAGGATGAATCACTACCTCTCACAGCAGCTGTAGTCTGAGAAAAAAAGTAACTTTATTCACTGGGCCGACAGCTGGCGACTTTGCAGGTGAAACATTAACTTGTAATGTTACTCAATGCATGAGTTGACAACGTGAATCAATCGACGCACCTTAAATTTCACTGTGACAACTTGGACCATTACTTTAGTTTTTATATGACATACACTTTTAGTAATGAGTGGATCTTCCAGTGTTTATATGTATTAATTATGACTGGGTTATGTGAACTGCATATATTCTAATCCTCACTCGGAGAAGAGAGAAAAAAAAAAACATCACGGAGTGCCGTTCATGTGACACTAAACCCCTGAGCTTGCCCGAGAAGGACTAAATGCACAAACCGGCTATCTTTAAATATCCCATGGAGAGACTCTCACTGCAGCCTGTTTTATTTTGTTCTGAAAATGTCAGTGTGTAACCTCGTTCTGTGGACGATAAACGAGGTGCAGACTTCCATATGTGTCACTGCTAATGAGGAAATACAGTGAGTGCTGGACGGAGCAGGGAGTGACAACAACCCTGCCCACATTTAAGGGTACTGTTGCGGTGGTAACCCTAGGGTCTAGGTACCACGTCTGAAGGGTACTTTTGGTTCCAAAGGTACGATACCGAAAGTGTTTGGTGGAAACAGGGCTTAAGATTTCCTGTCGTTTAAATATTACATTTCTCACTTTCAGGCCGGCCTCCAGGTGGAGAGAACTGGAGAGAAAGAGGAGAGACGACAGGAGACCATCGACATGGAGGAGGAGGATGGAGGGAGAGAGGGGAGGCAAGAGGAGACCCGCGTGAATATGAAAACAGTGAGAGACTGTGGGACAGAGGAGGAGGGATGAGAGGAGGCCATTTTCACTCTCATCCTCATTCTTATTCTAACTGGCATGATGGAGGACCCCAGAACTGGAGCCGTCCTCCAAGACAGTCCAGAGGTCGATCGTACCGTAACACAGGAAGATACCAGCTGGCTCCGAGGTAACACCGGTGTGGAGCTAAATGTCCTCCTTCTTTAATGTTTCATTTGTTCTTATCTGCACTATAATGTCACATTTCATCCTCTCCTCTCCTCTCAGATGGTCACAGCCTCCTGCACCAGGAACATAACTCGACCCTGAACAGAGAGGAGAGAAGAGGAGGATTAGAGGGGAGGATTGAGGAGTTAAGAGGATGGGAAACAGATGATGAAAGGAGCAGAGGAATCAAATTTCTCTGAACAAACTGATTAGTGAATTACCCATCAGGAGTGTTTGTCTAAAGGATGCAGTAGGTAGAGAAATGGGGATTAAGAGGAGGCAGAATGAAGAGATTAGGAATACGTTATTCAATTTACCATTTTAACCTGAAATTGTCTTTTTGTGCTTCTCAAAATAATCCCGTAGACATACTTTCAAAGTCCATCAGTTCAAAGCCTCTCCTTTATCTCAGGGCATCTTACCTTTCTCACTGTGGCAGAAAATGAACAGTATGCATGAGCACTCACCAAACAAACACAGAAATGAGCCACTTTGAAAATGCGCTGAGGAGTGGATTAGAGGTTAATCCTCAAGCCTGTTTTCACCTCTTATCTTTGACAATAAAAGGGCAGAGATCTTAAAAGCTGTGTGTGTCCAGTAGAATAATCCTTTTAAAGGAATGGTTTTAACTGGAGAAACAGTAATGCCGGTATCAGATATCGGCTGAAATAGGGCATCAGTACAGCAGATTTATACCCGCCTGTAAAGTGATACTGAGAGCCGTTTGTGACATGTCAAAAACAAAGTGAGACAACTTGAGTTTCAGCTTTTGTCATACACAGAAGAATGTGGTTGTCTGTAATGGATACTAATGGAGAAAGAGGTTTATATGTTTAACTGTTTTGTACTGACATAAATGTTTTCTCTTGAGGCCGGCGCATCCTTTCTTATTTGACGAGGTCGACCGTTAGTGTTTTATTAAAGGCTGTATGATAATGACAGTTTGGAGCAGGGAAAGCTGAACGCTGATTTTTTCAATTATTCAAGTTCACATACAGTAGTCACCTATAACTAGTGGTGTAGTGGAGGATATATTGAGGTATGCTGGGTACACCCACATCTTTTTCTGGCCATTTATAATATACCTACCTATAAGCTTAAAAGCTACTGGACAGTGTACCCACTTTCTCCTTGGTAACCTACCCATCTGCCTAGTCATCCACCCACCTCATCAACTACCACGACACCACTGACTATAACTACAAAATGAAATTATCTTTTGCTGCCTTTTCATCTTTGCTACTTAACAGTTAGATAGTTACTGACTGAGAAAAAATTACTGTGCCGCTCAAAGGCTACTGCCAGCAGCTACTGGCAACTTTTAAAGTGAAATGTTTTCTTGCATGTCACTCAATGGACAATTGACATCAATCAGTCAATCAAGATAAAAACCATTCCATTTGTTTTTATTGGCTCTCTTGCATACGCTTTCAATTTCAACCAGTTAATGTGAACAGTAAAGTGTTGCAAGCACACTCCGGGCGCATTGCACTGCAACTCATTAGCAGACGACCACACAAGTTATTACTACTTTTACTGAAAGACCTGTACGTCTTCCACCTCTGGCTTAGCTTAAAATCATGTGTGAAGAGCCCCTAATTAAACTTGATTTCTCACCTGAAGAGCCGATCTCCAGAGCTATGACTTGCTAGGCAATATCTTTTGGTCATTGTCTTTATAACGAAAGGATCGTGGGTCATTCAGTTCGAATTCTTTAACAACCTCAACAATTAGTCTGTTCTTATCCATTCTCAGTCACACATGAGAAACAGTGACAGCATTTCTGCATTCTGCAGCACTGATATGGGACTGCACATTAAAAATGATACGGGCGTATTTTTTTAACGTGCGGCATTCGTTGCCGATGTGTTTTGAAATATTCTGTTTCCTTACTTGGAGAAGAGGAACATCATTCCAATGCACTCTGCAGCACTACCCTGCATTGTCTAACAGCATGGGGAAAAAAAGATGAGCAGACACCAACTGTGCACAGAAACTTCGGTCACTCGGCTGCTGTGACATTTTGCCACGGTATATAGCAATATACCCTACAAATGCCATGGCTAAAGCCAGCTAGACAGCAAGGGTCATTCATGTGAGATCAAAAAGTACACTAGACGGTAGCCAATTAATGTGCACATGCCTCCAACTGGACAGGGGGGGTGAATGACTTAAAGTTACAGTGGAACACTGTCAGTGTTTTAATCTGTGAAAATGACAGACAGAAGTATGATGAAACTTTGATCTTAAAATTGTGATCAAGACCGAAGTCAAATAAATGTGTCAGTATTTGTTGACAACATTTGACGTGACAACACATGAAAACTCACTCCGTTTAAGTCAGTGCTTATTTTCATTACTTGTGGTTACAGTTGATGTTATCTTAAAACAATAGCATGGAGGATATTGAGTGCATGGGGATCAAAATGCTGTGTGTGTGTGTGTGTGTGTGTGTGTGTGTGTGTGTGTGAGAGAGAGAGAGGAGGAGGATGAGGAATGTATAGCCTTTACAGTCAGGTCGTCTTCCTGTAGCACCATGAACGTCGTAAAAACCCACCGGAGAGGAAAAGGATGCAGAGAAAGTTCCACAGCCTGAGTGCTCTCATTCCTTTGTGTGTGTGTGTGTGTGTGTGTGTGTGTGTGTGTGTGTGTGTGTGTGTGTGTGTGTTTGCCTATAAGCAGAGCAGTAAAGAAATGTGAGTGAATTTCTCAACAAATGAAAACAAATGAGGGGAAATCAGAGTGTTGATGTAGTGATGGTGAGACAGTGTTTGGCGTGACAGAGCTGAGAGTTACATCATTTTTTGTTCACTTCCCACAGGATTTGAAGCCCCCAGATTTAAAAACCCCTCAGCACATGGACAGTGCTTAAGACAGTAATCTTTTATATTGGGATAAACCTTACTTCATGTGTTGGTGTGTTGTGGTTTTTGGGGGGAATCATTCCCATTCTTTATGGATTTTGTAGCTGTATGATTACCAACATGTTGAAGATATACTATACAGGATTTTCCTGAAAACAATGTACAGACTCATACAGAAGTAATCCCTCTCAATCATCACTTACGACCCACTGGAAGTGTGTGGTGATGTATTTTTCAGCAGAGACTCTGCCCTGTATTTTCTTATTTTCTTCTGTGTTAAGGACGTTTATTGGTGTGTACCCCCACAGCACTCAGGTGACATCAGGGCTTTATTGAAAGATAGTGTCCAGGTGCCAGAGCATAAGCAGCAGACATCCAAGAGACAACAGTGCTAGAAAAAATACAAATACAGCAAAACACCAAAATGAGAGTGAATCTGGGGTTGGCTTTCTTTCACTGGCGTGTGTGTTTACAAATAGTGACCGACCATCTGCATAGTATCCCTTTTAATTTCAAATTTAGAACAATGAAAAGCATCAATTTGCATAGAAAGCTTGTGCAGATTGCAGATTCTGATACACACTGTTGCATAAGTCCTTGGTTCCCTGAATCTCTACAACAGAGGTGAAGAGTGCAAAGTTAGCATGACCCATAAGCCTCGCTTCTACCAGTTTCAGTATAATACCCTAAGAACCAGTACGTAACCCATATAGACATGCACCTAAAGCCTTGATCTGTTTAGTGTTACCACCGTAGACAGTACCTTATGTAGCTGCATCACTGCTCCTTCTAGCTCTCGTTCTATGTCCTCTTTACAGGTGATGCAGAGGAACATCTGCACCTTGTTGACTGTCCACTGAATGGGGTTGCATGCTGACATGCAAAAAAGAACAGGTTGGAGTTTTTACAGTCTTCATGGGATATTTAAGAATAGTGGATATGCGCACTGAGTCCTTGTAGAGCAAGTGTAAGAGATCTCTCTTGACCAGTCAACAAACTGCAGTGTTTCTAACTCCACCTTTTAGTGTCAGGATCAGTGTGTTAGGTACCTTAACAGAAGGATGACAAAAAAGGGAGGGAATGGAGCAATTCTATTGGTACCCTCCACAACTTTTGACAGTGAAAATGCCAAAATAGCTGTTCTAATGCGTAACGAAACTGAACTGAACCTGACTACTTGGTGGAAAAGAGGCTCTAGACTCACGGTGGCCCCATCTATGGGAATAAAGTTGAAATATAACAAGTCTTTCCTTTAATGTGACTGTGTTATATTCACACTGACCTGCCGACCTGACCTTCACATATAATCTGATGTGTAAAGCTGTCAGTGCATGTCGGAAAGGGGCCATTGGTTCCTTGCTGACGTAGGAAAGATTAAACATTTTATCGTCATGCTGAAGTTGTAACAGGGTTAGAGGGGCAGGAATTGAACAGCCCAGTGGTTATAAGAGTTTATAAGGGGATGTGATCAAAGTGTCTACCCCCTGTCTGCCCCCTAAATCCAGAGGCAGCACAAGAAACAACAGAGTGTGTGTTTTTAAGTTAATAACTGTGGTGAGTGGAGTGGGTGTGTACACGAGGAGGGACGACAAGGGTGGGGTACCCAACATGCACACACACGCACACACACGAATTGGGGTCCCTTTGCCCCTTTTACATAATAACAATAACAGGAGGAGGGATGTTTTCTGGGGTAAAGAGGAAGCGAGGGATGGAAGGTTAAAAAGAGAGGAAGGTGGAAAAAAACAAAGTGAAAGACAGAAATGAAGTGTAAAGGAGAGAAGTGAATACTGAGAAGAGGAAAGTGATGAAGACGAGGAGTGGAGGAAACACACCAGAGGAGTGTGTGATCGAGAGGTAGAAGACTAAGAATAGAGAAGACTACAGAAAACAGGATGAGAGGGGAGAAAAGAGAGGAGCTGGATGTAGAGGGTAAGACAGAGGAGTTAAGAACACAAGCAGCTTGAGTCGGTAGTCTTGCCTCAACCACAGGAAACCCTGTTGGCTGCCCGACAGATCAGCTTCCTGCTAGTGTGGTGGAGGTCTGGGTGTGGTCCCTCCAGCAACAGGGAGACAAACACTCAAACCCCCTTTGGAGGCCTCCTCCCAGGGACTGAATCAGGCCTCTTTCCTCTCGAGTGGCAGTCACTCAACAGGCTGTCTACTTTATTTTGTCTTACACTCTCTCTTGACTTATCTAAACTCTCTGAGGCTTTTCTTCCTGCCAACGTCCTCAAACTAGGCACCCGCTTTAACCCAGTTGGACCAAGGGGATTTGATTTAAACCCTTGCGGCGTCCAGCGGTGGCCACAATGGGTGGCACCGAAATGGATCCCATTGTGACCACAAAACCACTTCAACAGACTTCACCCGGAGCAAAGAGCCACTTTGAGGGAGTTACAATGATTCCACACATGTACCTCTGGGAAGGTGTAAAATAGTTATACTGTGAAGTGTTTGTCACAGGTGTTTTGGATGTTTTGATATTTTCCTAGAAAGTATAATGGTGCATTCTGATTGAAGTCAAAGTCTCACTGACATCCCCTCATTTTCCTCTAGGACCACCAGGAGGTTTACATTTGTGGCTTTGATTAAAATGTCTCAACAACAATTGGATGCATAGCCATGAACTTTGGTTCAGACATTCATGTTCCCCTCGGGATGAATTGTTATAACTTTGGTGTTTCTCTAGCTTTTCATCGAAAGGCCAACTTATGAT